AGTCTAGTGTTGTGAGTCCCTCTGGTGATTTGAGTCCCTCAGTCTAGTGTTGTGAGTCCCTCAGTCTAGTGTTGTGAGTCCCTCAGTCTGGTGTTGTGAGTCCCTCAGTCTAGTGTTGTGAGTCCCTCTGGTGATTTGAGTCCCTCAGTCTGGTGTTGTGAGTCCCTCAGTCTAGTGTTGTGAGTCCCCCTCATCTGGTGATTTGAGTCCCTCAGTCTGGTGATCTGAGTCCCTCAGTCTGATGTGGTGAGTCACCCTCAGTCTAGTCTTGTGAGTCCCTCAGTCTGGAGTTGTGAGTCCCCTCATTCTAGTGTTTGTGAGTCCCTCTGTGATTTGGAGTCCCACAGTCTGGTGTGTGAGTTCCCTCAGTCTGGTGTAGTGAGTCCCTCAGTCTGTTGTTTTTGTGTCATTCTGGTGATGGAGTCCCATCAGTCTAATGTTTTTGAGTCCCCTCAGTCGTATTGTGAGACTCTCAGTCTGGTGTTGTGAGTCCCTCAGTCTAGTGTAGTGAGTCCCTCAGACTGGTGTCGTGAGTCCCCCTACCCAAGTCCACCCCCCCCCCCCCCCCCCCCCCTGGTTATTGAGAGTCCCCTCAGTCCTTGTGTAGTGAGTCCCTCAGTCCAGGTTGTGAGTCCCCCTCAGTCTGGTGTTGTGAGTCCCTCTTCTGGTGTATTGTGAGTCCCTCAGTCGTGGTGTTTTGAGTTCCCTAATCTTGTTGTTGTTAGTCCCTCAGTCCTAGTGTTTGAGTCCCATAGTCCTGGTGTTGTGAGTCCCTCAGTCTGTCTAGTGTTTGTGAGTCCTCAGTATGGTGATTTGAGTCGTTCAGTCGTGGGTGTTGTGATCCCTCAGCTATTGTTTGTGAGTCCCTCAGTATTGTGATTTGATCCCTCAGTCTGGCATTGTGAGTCCCTCAAGTCTGGTGTTGTGGGTCCTCAGTCTGGTGTTGTGAGTCCCTCAGTACTGGTTATGTGATTCCCATCAGTCCTGGGTGTGAAGACCCTCATTCTACGTTTTGTGAGTCCCACAGGTCTGAGTGTTGTGAGTCCCTCTTCCTAGTGTTGTGAGCCCCTCATTCTGGGGATTTGAGCCCCAGTCTGGTTTGTGATCCCACAGTCTGGTGATTATGATTGCCTCATGTCTAGATTTGTGAGTTCCCTCAAGTCTGGTGATTGTGAGTCCCTCAATTCAGGCGATTTGAGTCCCTCAGTCTGGTGATCTGAGTCCCTCAGTCTAGGGTTGTGAGTCTCTCAGTCTGGTGTTGTGAGTCCCTCAGTCTAGTGTTGTGAGTCCCTCAGTCTGTGATATTGAGTCCTCAGTCTGTGTTGTGAGTCCCTCAGTCTAGTGTTGTGAGTCCCTCAGTCTGGTGTTGTGAGTCCCTCAGTCTGGTGTTGTGAGTCCCTCAGTCTGGTGATTTGAGTCCCTCAGTCTGGTGATCTGAGTCCCTCAGTCTAGTGTTGTGAATCCCACAACTGAGTAAGTTATTCCTCCAGTCTGAGTTGTGAGTCCCTCAGTCTGGTGATTTGAGTCCCTCAGTCTGGTGATCTGAGTCCCTGAGTCTAGGGTTGTGAGTCTCTAAGTCTGGTGTTGTGAGTCCCTCAGTCTAGTGTTTGTGAGTCCTCCAGTCTAGTGTTGAGAATTCCCTCAGTCCTGGGTTTGTGAGTCCCTCAGTAGGGTGTATTGTGAGTCCCTTAGTCTGGTGATTGTTGATTCCCTCAGTATGGTGATCTGAGTCCCTCAGTCCAAGTGTTGTGAGCCCTCAGTCTTGGTGATATTGAGTCCCACAGTCCTGGTGTTGTAAGTCCCTCAGTTGGTGTTTGTGAGTCCCATAGTCTGGTGATTTGATCCCTCAGTATGGTGATCTTAGTCCCTCATCAATGGTTGAGAACCCTCAATCTGTGATTGTGAGTCTCTCAGTCTAGTGTTGTGAGTCCCTCAGTCCCCCCAGGTGAATTGGAGTCGCATCAGTCCTGGTTGTTGGAGTCCCTCAGTCTGGTTTGTGAGTCCCTTAGTCTGGTTATTTGAGACCCTCAGTCAGGTGACTGAGTCCCTCAGTCTAGTGTTGTGAGTGCCCTCAGTCCTGGGATTTGAGTCCCTCAGTTCTGGAGATCTGAGTCCCTCAGTCTAGCGTTTGTTTAGTCCCTCAACTGGTGTTGTGAGTCCCTCAGTCTGGTGTTGTGAGCTCCCTCAGTCTGGTGATTCGAGTCCCTCATCTGGTGATCTGAGCCCTCAGTCCTAGTTATGAGATTCCCCATCAAATGTTGCGATTCCCTCATCTGGTGATTTGAATCCCTCAGTCTGGTGTTGTGAGTCCCTCAGTCTAGTGTTGTGAGTTCCTCAGTCTGGTGATCTGAGTCCCTCAGTCTGGTGATTTGAGTCCCTCAGTCTGGTGTTGTGAGTCCCTCAGTCTAGTGTTGTGAGTCCCTCAGTCCTAGTGAGAGTTCCCCACAGACTGGTGTGAGTCTCTCAGTCTGTGTTGTGAGTCCCTCATTCTAGTGTTGTGAGCCCCTCAGTCTAGTGTTGTGAGTCCCTCAGTCTAGTGTTGTGAGTCACTCTGGTGATTTGAGTCCCTCAGTCTGGTGTTGTGAGTCCCTCAGTCTAGTGTTGTGAGTCCGTCAGTCCAGTGATTTGAGTCCCTCAGGCTGGTGTTGTGGGGGATACCCTCAGTCTAGTGTTGTGGAGTTCCTCAGTCTGTGATTTGAGTTCCGCCAGATCTGTGAGATCGTGAATCCCTCATTCTAGTGTTGTGAGTTCCCTCAGTCTGGTTTTGTTATCCCTCAGTCTAGTGGTTGTGAGTGTCCCTAAGTCTGGTGCTTTGAGTCCCTCAGTCTGGTGACTGAGTCCCCTCAGTCTAGTGTTGTGAGTCCCTTCAGTCTGGTGTTTGAGTCCTCCTCAGTCTGGTGATTTGAGTCCCTCAGTCTGGTGTTGTGAGTCCCTCAGTCTAGTGTTGTGAGTCCCTCAGTCTAGTGTTGTGAGTCCCTCAGTCTGGTGATTTGAGTCCCTCAGTCTGGTGATCTGAGTCCCTCAGTCTAGTGTTGTGAGTCCCTCAGTCTGGTGTTTTGAGTCCCTCAGTCTCGTGTTGTGAGTCCCTCAGTCTGGTGATCTGCGTCCCTCAGTTTAGTGTTGCGAGTCCCTCAGTCTAGTGTTGTGAGTCCCTCAGTCTGGTGTTGTGAGTCCCTCAGTCTGGTGTTTTGAGTTCCTCAGATCCTAAGTGTTGTGATCCCTCTGGTGATTGAGTCCCTAGTCTAGTGTTGCGAGTCCCCTCAGTCTAAGTTTTGTGATCCGCTCAGTCTATGTTGTAGTCCCTCAGTCTAGTGTTGAGAGTCCCTCTGGTGGATTTGAGTCCCCCAGTCAGTGTTGTGAGTCCCCGCTGGTGATTTGAGTCCCTCATCTATTGTTGTGAGGCCCTCAGTCTAGTGTTTGTAGTTCCCTCTGGTGATTTGATGTCCCTCAGTCATAGTGTTGTGAGGTCCCTCAGTCCTAGAGTTGTGATTCCCTCAGTCTAGTGTTGATAGTCCTCAGTCCTAGAGTTGTGGAGTCCCTCAGTCAGTTTTGTGAGTACCTCAAGAAACTGGGTGTTTGTGAGTCCCTCAGTCTGGTGTTGTGAGAGCCCTCAGTCTGGTGTAGTGAGTCCTCGTCTGGTGTTGTGAGTCCCCTGTCCTAGTGATTTTGTGGTCCCCCTCATCTAGTGTTATGAGTCCCTTCATCTAGTGTTGTGATTACCTCAGTCTGGAGTTGTGAGTCCCTCAGTCTGGTGTTTGTGGAGTCCCTCAGTCTAGTGTTGGTGAGTCCCTCAGTCTAGTGTTGTGAGTCCCACAGTCTAGTGTTGTTTTAGTCCTCAGTCTAGTGTTGTGGAGTCCCTCAGTCCTAGTGTTGTGATAACCTAACGTCTGGTGTTGTGAGTCCCCCTCAAGTCTGGTGGTATTTGAGTACCTCAGTGCTAGTGTGTGAGTCCCTCAGTCTAGTGGTGTGAGTTTCCTCAGTCTGGTGTTGTGAGTCCCCTCCCAGTCTGGTGTTGTGAGTACCTCATCTGGTGTTGAGAGGTTCCCTCAGTCTGGTGTTGTGGAGTACCTCTGTCTGGTTATTTGTGGATGTCCCTCCATCTAGTGTTGTGGTATACCCTCAGTCTATGTGTTTGTGAGTACCCTTCAGTCCTAGTGTTGTGAGACCCCTCAGTCTAGTGTTGTAGCCCCTCATTCAAGTGTTGTGAGTCGCTCAGTCTAGGTGATGTGATTTCCCCATTCTAGTGTAGTGAGATTCCTGGATTTTACCAGGTAGAGTTCGGGGTCAAAACGCCCCCGCCGGGGCCCGGTCCTGTGACCAGGCCATTCCTGGTGATCAAGCGCCTGATCAACCAGGCTGTTGGCGCTGGCTGCACGCGCACCAACGTACGGAGCCACAGCCCGCTGATCATACACCTGCCCTTTAGGTGCATGTCCAGTGCCAGCTTGAAGACATGCCAGGGGTCTGTTTGGTAATCCCCCTACTTATGTGTGCTGGGAGCAGTTGAACAGTCTCGGACCCCTGACACTTATTGTATGTGGTCTCTTAACTGCTAGTGCACCCCTGCTTTTTCAATGGGGGGATGGTGCATCGTCTGCCAAGTCTTTGCTTTCGTATGAGTGATTTTCGTGTGCAAGTTACTGTACTATTTTCCCTCTAGTATTTCCCAGGTGTAATAAAATCCATGTATCTCTCCCTCCTGACGTCTCCAGGTAATACAGGTTTAGTCCCTCAGTCTAGTGTTGTGAGTCCCTCAGTCTAGTGTTGTGAGTCCCTCAGTCAGGTGTTGTGAGTCCCTCAGTCAGGTGTTGTGAGTCCCTCAGTCTGGTGTTGTGAGTCCCTCAGTCAGGTGTTGTGAGTCCCTCAGTCTAACATCTACTAACATCTACATCTACTAACATCTACATCTACTAACATCTACATCTACTAACATCTACATCTACTAACATCTACATCTACTAACATCTACATCTACTAACATCTACATCTACCTCCCTCAGGCACAAACAGCAGAAGGATCAACAGCGTCAGAGTCCAGCAAACAACTGACGGAGCTGAGAAGAATCCTGGGGGAGAGAGAGAAGGAAATAGAATGTCTGCAACAGTCACAGGTGAAAGCCCAGTCAGAGTTGCAGGCGGCACAGTCAGAGACTGAGAGACTGTTGCAGGTGATGCAGATGGGACAGGAGGAACACTTTGCCAAGGATAAAGCTATTAAAGACCTCCAAGAGTAAGTCTTTATGCTCACTTTAGAAAGTTCCACTGTATTTATTTATTTATTTATTTACAGTGGACCCCCGGTTAACGATATTTTTTCACTCCAGTAGTATGTTCAGGTGCCAGTACTGACCGAATTTATTCCCATAAGAAATATTGTGAAGTAGATTAGTCCATTTCAGACCCCCAAACATACACGTACAAACGCACTTACATAAATACACTTACATAATTGGTCACATTCAGAGGTAATCGTTATGCGGGGGTCCACTGTATTTATTTCCAATTTGAGCACACATACAGAGGTACAAAAAAATACAGATAAGAGCAGCATGCCAAAGCCACTTATACTATGCATAGCATTACGGGCTGGTTTAAAATTAACTTAAGATGAACTAAGCAATGATGACATCAGTGATAAAACATTAATGTAAACAGATAACTATAAAGCACAAGTGAGTATTACAAAGACAGGTCATATGGTTGCATTCAGTCATATGAAGGATTCTGTTAGGTAGTGTATTTAAAAAATAATAAAGTTAGATTCGGTTTTAGGTTCAACATACACTCACTCACTTGTCTTGTAAAGTTCCACTGTATAAAGGCACTTGTCTTATGAAGCTTATCTATATACACACAGGTCACTATACACACACACAGGTCACTATACACACACACACAGGTCACTATACACACACACACAGGTCACTATATACACACAGGTCACTACACCACACACAGGTCAATATATACACAGGTCACTATACACACACACACGTCACTATACACCACACAGGTCACTATACACACACACAGGTCACTATAGACCACACACAGGTCACTATATACACACAGGTCACTATACACACACACAGGTCACTATACACCACACACAGGTCACTATACACACACAGGTCACTATACACACACAGGTCACTATATACACACAGGTCACTACACCACACACAGGTCAATATATACACACAGGTCACTATACACCACACACAGGTCACTATATACACAGGTCACTATACACCACACACAGGTCACTATACACCACACACAGGTCACTATATACACAGGTCACTATACACACACACACGTCACTATACACCACACAGGTCACTATACACACACACAGGTCACTATACACCACACACAGTGCACTATATACACACAGGTCACTATACACACACACAGGTCACTATACACCACACACAGGTCACTATACACACACAGGTCACTATACACACACAGGTCACTATATACACACAGGTCACTACACCACACACAGGTCAATATATACACACAGGTCACTATACACCACACACAGGTCACTATATACACAGGTCACTATACACCACACACAGGTCACTATATACACAGGTCACTATACACACACACACGTCACTATACACCACACAGGTCACTATACACACACACAGGTCACTATACACCACACACAGGTCACTATATACACACAGGTCACTATACACACACACAGGTCACTATACACCACACACAGGTCACTATACACACACAGGTCACTATACACACACAGGTCACTATATACACACAGGTCACTACACCACACACAGGTCAATATATACACACAGGTCACTATACACCACACACAGGTCACTATACACCACACACAGGTCACTATATACACAGGTCACTATACACCACACACAGGTCACTATACACCACACACAGGTCACATATACACACAGGTCACTATACACCACACACAGGTCACTATATACACACAGGTCACTATACACCACACACAGGTCACTATATACACACAGGTCACTATACACCACACACAGGTCACTATATACACACAGGTCACTATACACCACACACAGGTCACTATACACCACACAGGTCACTATACACCACACACAGGTCACTATACACCACACACAGGTCACTATACACACACACAGGTTACTATACACACACACAGGTCACTATACACACACAGGTCACTATATACACACAGGTCACTACACACCACACATAGGTCACTATACACCACACAGGTCACTATACACCACACACAGGTCACTATACACACACACAGGATCACACTATACACATACAACACACAGGTCACTATATACAACACAGGTCACTATACACACACACAGGTCATATACATAATACACACACAGGTCACTATACACACACACAGGTCACTATATACCACACACAGGTCACTATATACACACAGGTCACTATACACACACACAGGTCACTATACACACACAGGTCACTATACACCACACACAGGTCACTATATACACACAGGTCACTATACACCACACACAGGTCACTATACACCACACACAGGTCACTATACACACACAGGTCACTATACACACACACACAGGTCACTATACACCACACACAGGTCACTATACCACACACACAGGTCACTATACACCACACACACGTCCACTATATACCACACACAGTCACTATACACACACACAGTCACTACACCACACACAGGTCACTACACCACACACAGGTCACTATACACCACACACACGTCACTATACACCACACACAGGTCACTACACACACAGGTCTAACACAAGGTCACTATACACCAACACAGGTCACTATACACCACACACAGGTCACTATACACCACACACAGGTCACTACACCACACACAGGTCACTATACTACCCACACAGGTCACTATACACCATGCACAGGTCACTATACACACAGTCTTCATCACACAGGTCACTATACACACACACAGGTCACTATACACCACACACAGGTCACTATACACCACACACAGGTCACTATACACCACACACAGGTCACTATACACCACACAGGTCACTGTACACTGCACACAGGTTACTATACACCACACAGGTCACTTACACTGCACACAGGTTACTATAACCACACACAGGTCACTATACACACACAGGTCACTTACACAACACAGGTCACTATACACCACACAGGTCACTATACACCAGGTCACTACCACACCAGGTCACTAGTACACTGCACACAGGTCTACTATACACACACACAGGTACCTATACACACAAAGGTCACTATAATCACATACACACACAGGTCACTTACACCACAACAGGTCAATATACACGTCACAACCAAGGTCACTAGATATATCACTATACACCACACACAGGTCACTGTACACACACAGGTCTCTATACACACACAGGTCACCATACACACACAGGTCACTATGAAACTCACCATATCACTATACACGCACATCAGGTCACTGTACACGTCTCACACAGGTTCTATACACATTCACCATCAGGTACTATACACTGTCTCACCATCAGGTTACTACACTGTCTCACCATCAGTTCACTATACACTGTCTCACCATCAGGTACTACACTGTTCACCATCAGGTTCTATACACGCTCACATCAGGTTACTTACACCATTCACCATCGTACAACACGTTCACCATCAGGTTACTATACACTCTCACCATCAGGTTACATCACACTGTCTCACCATCAGGTCACTATACACTGTCTCACCATCAGGTTACTATACACCATCTCACCATCAGGTTACTATACACTGTCTCACCATCAGGTTACTATACACTGTCTCACCATCAGGTTACTATACATGTCTCACCATCAGGTTACTATACACTGTCTCACCATCAGGTTACTATACACTGTCTCACCATCAGGTTACTATACACTTCTCACCATCAGGTTACTATACACTGTCTCACCATCAGGTTACTATACACTGTCTCACCATCAGGTTACTATACACTGTCTCACCATCAGGTTACTATACACTGTCTCACCATCAGGTTACTATACACCATCTCACCATCAGGTTACTATACACTGTCTCACCATCAGGTTACTATACACTGTCTCACCATCAGGTTACTATACACCATCTCACCATCAGGTTACTATACACTGTCTCACCATCAGGTTACTATACACTGTCTCACCATCAGGTTACTATACACTGTCTCACCATCAGGTTACTATACACTGTCTCACCATCAGGTTACTATACACTGTCTCACCATCAGGTTACTATACACTGTCTCACCATCAGGTTACTATACACTGTCTCACCATCAGGTTACTATACACCATCTCACCATCAGGTTACTATACACTGTCTCACCATCAGGTTACTATACACTGTCTCACCATCAGGTTACTATACACCATCTCACCATCAGGTTACTATACACTGTCTCACCATCAGGTTACTATACACCATCTCACCATCAGGTTACTATACACTGTCTCACCATCAGGTTACTATACACTGTCTCACCATCAGGTTACTATACACCATCTCACCATCAGGTTACTATACACTGTCTCACCATCAGGTTACTATACACTGTCTCACCATCAGGTTACTATACACCATCTCACCATCAGGTTACTATACACTGTCTCACCATCAGGTTACTATACACTGTCTCACCATCAGGTTACTATACACTGTCTCACCATCAGGTTACTATACACTGTCTCACCATCAGGTTACTATACACTGTCTCACCATCAGGTTACTATACACCATCTCACCATCAGGTTACTATACACTGTCTCACCATCAGGTTACTATACACTGTCTCACCATCAGGGATATACACATTCTCACCATCAGGTTACTATACACTGTCTCACATCAGGTTACTATACACTATCTCACCATCAGGTTTACTATACACCATCTCACCATCAGGTTACTATACACTGTCTCACCATCAGGTTACTATACACTCTCACATAGGCACTATACACTCTCACCATCAGGTTACTATACACTGTCTCACCATCAGGTTACTATACACTGTCTCACCATCAGGTTACTATACACCATCTCACCATCAGGTTACTATACACTGTCTCACCATCAGGTTACTATACACTGTCTCACCATCAGGGCACTATACACCATCTCACCATCAGGTTACTATACACTGTCTCACCATCAGGTTACTATACACTGTCTCACCATCAGGTTACTATACACTGTCTCACCATCAGGTTACTATACACTGTCTCACCATCAGGTTACTATACACTGTCTCACCATCAGGTGCACTATAACCGATCTCACCATCAGGGTACTATACACTGTCTCACCATCAGGTTATATACACTGGTCTCACCATCAGGTTACTATACACTGTCTCACCATCAGGCTACTATACACCTTTCACCATCAGGTTACTATACACATCTCACCATCAGGTTACTATACACTGTCTCACATAGGGCACTATACACCTATCTCACCATCAGGTTACTATACACTGTCTCACCATCAGGTTACTATACACTGTCTCACCATCAGGTTACTATACACTGTCTCACCATCAGGTTACTATACACTATCTCACCATCAGGGTTACTATACACTGCTGCTGCACTATCAGGTCTACATATACCTACGTGGTCTACCCTGGCACTCTACATGATGCTCACCACTAGGTTACATCAGTTGCTGTCCAATCCACCATCGGTTATATAAGTTCACCTCGAGGCTACATACCACCCTGGACTAGCTAATCTAGGTCACTATTACTTATCCTTCTAATTATCTAATTGACTATACACTATTCACCATCAGCCTGTTTACTAATCACTATTCTTAACCATATCATTCTATACCACCCATGATATCCTCTAACCATCAGGGTACTATTACACTTCTCACAATTTCAGAGTATACTTCACTTCTACCTAGGGTTAATTACACTTTCACCATCAGGGCACTGCGTGCCTGTAGCGCTAATGGCTCTGCACCTTCAGCGATTCAGCCAAAAAAAATACGATGAGCTACCCCTGGCACCCCTGCTAATGATGGATGGCATCCCAGCTGTCAAGCCAGTGCTGCTGCCGCCCATGACTAGCAACACTCGCGGCTAGAGTGCTTCGGCAGCCTCCGAGGCTGCCAAAGCCACCCTGGAACAAGCTAAGAACGTGGCTCAGGTAATTATCCCTTTAATTACTACCCTAATTGGCTATCAGCATCTAATTACCACCCTAAGTGGCCTTTTAACCCCTAATCACTATTTTAAGTGGCCAATTATCACCCTAATTACCACCCTAAGTGGACGATTATCCCCTAATAACCTCCCTAAGGGGCTAATTAACTCAATTAACTCAAGAATGTGGCTCAGATAATTAGTCTCATTACTATCCTAAGGGGATATTAACATCTAATTACCACCCAAAGTGGCTGATTTACTCCTCAATACATCTCTAAGTGACTAATTGCTCCCTAATTACTACCCTAAGTGGTTTATTACCCTTAATTACTACAATAAGTAACTAGTTACCATCCTAAGTTGCTGTTTACCCCATAATTACCACCCTAAATGACTGATTATCCCATAATTACAACCCTAAGTAGCTAATGACCACCCTAAGTGACTAGCTAACTCCTAGCTACCATCCTAGTTGACTTATTTTCCTATAATTTTTATTCTAATTGATTACCATCCTATTGATTAATCATCACCCTAGTTTACTAATTAGCCCCTAATTACCCTAATATACCGATTATCATCTTACCACCCCAATTGACTAATAACCTGCTAATTACAATCCTAATTGACTAATTACCTCCCGAATTATCACACTTTATTAGTAATTAATCTCCTTATTACTTTAATTATAGTTTCCCATAATTGTTCTTTTTTGGGTGTTAATTAATTGTTAGTCAGTAGGCCTAAATTTTCAGTCAGTAGATTTAAATTGGCAGTCATACCTAAATTGTTAGTAAGCCTAAATTGTCAGAAGGCCTAAATTGTCAACAGACCCAAATTTGTCAGTCAGAAGGCCTAAATTGTCTGTCAGTTGGCCTAATTGTCAGAAGGCCTAAAGTGTCAGTCAGAAGGCCTAAATTGTCAATGAGTAGGCCTAAATTGTCAGTAGGCATAAATTATCAGCAAACCTTGATTGTCAGTCAGAAGGCCTAAATTGTCAGTCAGTAGTCAGTCGGTAGGTCTTAATTATCAGTCAGTAGACCTAAATTGTCAGTCAGGCCTAAATTTTGGCTTTGACAATAAAAATTATATTTACACACACACACACACACACACACACACACTGCACTCTCGTGCATCGTCAGGAGCTATGCAGTGTTGCAAGACAGCAACAGGTCAGATGGGAAGTTCCCTAAGGCAAGACAGAAGGTATCAGTGGAAGCCCATATCGCAGCATCACTGTGATACCTGGAAATATAAACACAAATGCAGTATAATGTGATCCTTTATTGACTACGTTTCGCCCACACAGTGGGCTTTTTCAAGTCACAAACAGAACTACCTGGGGTGGAAGGAACGCGAGTATTTATAGTCCGGTTCAGAATGCTGAGGTCAGGTGAAGAATGCTGCATCTGATGATGTACCGAGTGGGGTTATAGAGTCTAAAAACTTGGGTAGCTTGGAAAGGAGATTGGATAAGTTTGTGAGCAGACCTTCTACAGTGTTCTTATGTGGGATAGCGGTGAAGAAGTTTCTTGGCAAGTGGTTCAGCTATGTTCCTTCCACCCCAGGTAGTTCTGTTTGTGACTTGAAAAAGCCCACTGTGTGGGCGAAACGTAGTCAATAAAGGATCACATTATACTGCATTTGTGTTTATATTTCCATTGTGTCGGTATTTTATGCCATTTATTTCCACTGTGATACCTGTTGCTATCTTGCAACATAACAAAGCATATATATATATATATATATATATATATATATATATATGCAAAATGAACACAAAGGGTGTTGAATGATAGCTCCAGGCCTCTTGTTTTGTAATCAACACTATCTTCATGAGCTTGCCTTGTTTTAGGAATGAGTATGAAGTCCAGGTAGATTCGTTCAAGGGACATGACTCTAGCTAGAGTAAGGTAGATGGCGCCAGGCAACCAGTTCCCAGTGCCAGAAGAATGAAGAGAGAATATTAAAACCATAGAAATAAAGTACAATGGTCCCTCGTTTATCGTCGTTAATCCGTTCCTGGAAGTGCGACGATTATCGAAAAAGACGATTTTCGAATCAATTTTCCCCATAAGAAATAATGTAAATACAATTAATCCGTTCCTGACACCCAGAAGTATTAAAACAAAAAATTTTTTTACATGAAATGTAGATGTAGTACATCAACAATACAATGGCACATGATGAATGAAACATTAACAGCATAACACTTACCTTTATTGGTGATTCTTCTTAGTGTATGGAAGACTGGAAGATTGAATTAGTTACTGTTTGGAAGGGGAATCCCCTTCCATCAACACCTCAGGTACCAAGTGCTTTTCTGGGGTTACTTCTCTTCTTTGTTTCTTAATGCCACTAGGACCACCTTGAGAGTCACTGGAGTCCTGTCTCACAAAAAAAGTGTCCATAGAGCTCTGTTTCTGACATCTCTTTAAAACTTCCCTAAAATGGGCCAAGACTCTGTCACTGTACAAGTTGCCGATATGGCTTGCAACATCCTTCTCAGGGTGATGTTTCTCCATAAATCTTTCCATCCTACCCCACATTTCAAAATCTCATTAATTTCTGAAGAAGACACCTTCTTCCATCTCTCTTCCTTCTCCTTCCTCCTTCTCGTTTATCCACACCAATAATAATTTCTCAACCTCTTCGAGTACTGATCTCATTTTTGTCAGCATATTTACCCCCTTTGCAACAACAGCTTCCTTGATTTCCTTTTTCTTGGCCACGATGGAAGATATGGTTGTACAGGATTTGTTATACATCCTGGCCAGTTTGGCTACATGTATGCCACTTTCATATTGTTCAATGATGTTTTTCTTAAATTCAATTGTATTTCTCACCTTCTTTACCAAAGGCTTGGCACTAGGAGCTTTCTTCGGAGCCATGGTAGCTTATTTAGCACTTGCAAGCACTAAAATGAATGGAATATTATGAAAAATTTCGTATGAACACGTGAGGGGACTTGCTCACTGGTAAACAATGGCACACTGGCTGGGAAGGGAGGCCGAGATGGCTCAGAGCCGTGGGTATGCGTCCAGGATGAACGGCGATTAGTGAGTCAACTGATCATTTGCGAGCCATCGTTTGGACTAAAATAACGTGATGATTTCCGAAAAGGACGACTATCGAGCCCGACTATTATCAAGGGACCACTGTACTATGTATAAAGCCCATCAGCGGTAAGTATTTAGTAATGACTCAGCGTCGCTAAAATTAGTGTTTTGAGAGGAGTGCCCCGGTAACAGGTATTACCGAGATTACTTCTACGGAACTGTTTGGGTAATCTGTCTTCGACCCCATTCGATCACCTCCACAGGTTAGCAATTACTAAGAATTACTAAGACAGGGCAAATAAAAGTATTTTCAACATGGTACCAGTTGAGTGGCAAGATCATACATTAGACTACATATATCAGGAGTTGAGAATAATGAAATGGAAAACTCAATGTGTACATACTGGGAAATTAATCAATCTCACAGAACAAGGTGGCTGGTCCCAGCATGCTCACCCAGATTTTGCTATTAGCCTGTCTAGTGCTGAGTTTACCTGGGACCAACAGACAGCGTTAGGTTATAGGTTATGTGTCGTGCCTACTAGTGGGGACACTATATTGACCTTGTCAAGTGATTTTATAATCTGGAAAAACAAGGGGACCTGTCCCCAGAAATGTTCAAAATTTGTAAAGGCATGGTATATGGGGCTTTGTCCTCAAAGATTTGTTAAGTCATGCCAAGAATTAAAGAAAGATCCTGGACTTCACTTTACAAAACAGACAAAGAAAATGTGATAGTAATTATGGACAAGGTAGATTATAGTGGAAAAATGACCATGGTATTAGAAGACAGGGAAACTTATGTGCCTCTTAATAAGAATACTTTGTACCACATTAATGGTAAATTTAATAAACAACTTAGAACTTTAGTGAGAGATAATGAGGAACTGATCAAACAGTTGTCAGCTAGGGCGGCCACACTCCCTTATATGTATGGTTTGATTATAACCCACAAGCCAGGTTTTCCAGCCAGACCTTTTATTACCTCGGTGTAGCTGGCGACTTACCTGTCAAAATGGCTGATAAAAGTACCAACTCCAGTGCTTGACAACATCTCTGAAGCCCACAAAAAAAAAGAATGCTGACCTCATTGACAGATTACAGAATGTTAAGATATCATGTGGTTTTACACTAGTAAGTTCTGACGTCACAGCATTGTTCACTCGAGTTCCTGTTCCCTGTCTGTTATTTTATTTGAAAGAAGAATTAGACGAGTTCCTCCTGAAATTCGATAAGAACACCATTATTGACTTGATTAAGTTCTGTGTAGTTGATTGCAAGTTTGAGTTTGAAGGGAAATATTACACTCAAAGTCTCCCGTATTAAGCAATCTGTATATGGAGTTTTTCGAGGCTAAACTGTTGAAAAATATCCTGAACCATGAAGCTAAGTGGTTCAGATATGTGGATAACATCTCGTGTCGTAGGCTGAATGATATGGACCTGGATACATTTATACCGCAAGGCTACTAATGTGTGCTCATACATTCACTACTATTCTAACCACAAGACAGAGAGTAAAATGGAGTGTTTTTCTCGCTATATTTCTGGGAACTTACCAGTGTGCAGCCCAGAGTTTCTCAGTGAGGAAATTATAAAAATATTTGATAATGCCGTGAAACTATGGTACCCTAAGGAGTCTGTAGAATCAGCACTGCTGGCAGATAGGATAAGTTATCATCAGGCTGAACCTAGGATAACACCTCAGATTAAGAATATGCGGGTTCTCCCATACAATAAAAATTTCTCTCTCCTGCCTAATGCCCTAAAATGATTCAACATACAAGTAGTTTTTAATTCAGGGATAGAAAATAGCATTTTGATAAAAGAATTTCCATCAACTCTGTGTTGGCAGTGTGCGCAGGATCAGTTGCAATGGGTGCAACTTATCTTACATGGAACAGACCGGCAAACCTCTAGATGTCAAGATAACACAACAC